TCATGGTAAAATGTTATAAAGCAGAGCGAGCACGGTTTGTCTCCTTCGTTGGTTTTACAAGTTTGTCTGATACCTCTGAGGACCCTACATTCTTGTTCATTGTTGGTCTTATTGAAGGTGTGATCCCCATTGGGGAATGCGTGCAATGACCATCCTGTTAACTCGGGGGTCATTGTCCTAAGGTGAGCTGCCACGATTGCATCTGGTGGTGGGGTTGTACATTATATTGCACCTGAATGTATCATAGGACACCTTTTTGACTCACCGTTCAGTCCATATCTTTTTTTGGATTATTACCTGAGAACTTTTAATGAACTTTTTATAGGAGACTTATGACTTATATATCTTTACTGCTCTGCACTTCAAAATATGATATTTAGTTTTTCTTCACACACAAAACTTTACAGTTAGTATTTGTTTTAATAATATCAAAGTTGGGAATTTAAACTTTTTCAAACTATTCTCCAACTTCACTCATTTGCATTATTCATATATATATATATATATAGATAGATAGATATAGATATAGATATAGATATATATAGATAGATATAGATATATATAGATAAATAGATAGATATAGATAGATAATATATATAGATATAGATATATATAGATAGATAGATAGATATATAGATATAGATATATATAGATATATATAGATATATATAGATATATATAGATAGATATATAGATAGATAGATATATATATAGTTAAGCCAGGATGACCGTGCCTGAAGAAAAAAAAAAGAAAAAAAGACGGAGGGCTCTGTATCTCTATCCTCATTGGTTCAAGTATTGTCTTAAGTGTATATTTAGCCAACTTCTTTTTTTTTTTTTTTTTTTTCTTTTTTTTTTTCTTTTTTTTTTTTTTTTTGGATAGATTAGGAAGGGTTAGGTAAAAAAAAAAACGCATCATGTTTTTAAATTAAAATGTATGATTTTCTCTGATCAGTTGTACATTCTGATGTTTGAACTTTGCTGCACTTTGTTCTGTGTTTTTGCTCTGCTATAAACTACTTTGCCTTTTCTTTTGCACGGACATACATGAAGGGAAGCTAGATTTAGATATACAGCCCTTTGCATTGATAAGCAAATTCTAAAAAAAAGTCTTGAAATCACTACAGGAAGCAGCTATGTGCTTTTGTGGTTATCTTAATATATGCAGTTTAAAAGTTTGCTAAACAATATAGCAAACAATTCCTGCAGCAGTATTAATCAACTAGTCAGTGTGTAAGCTGATCTATGTAAGCTGGTAGAAACCAGTCAGTCCAGCCTCAGAGCCAGCAGGCCATGCTAAAGCTCAACTCCAGGATAGCAAATATTGTCTCAACACAGGACGCATGTGTATTCATATCTGAATCTTGTTGTCTTTTTCTTCCAGATCTGTGCAGTAATCTAGCATGGAACTTTGACTCAGTGCATGAGTTTCCTGTAATAAAGACCACTTACTGCTGATCTCTCTACTTGTGCAGGGTAGCTGGTTTTGCACCTGCCCCCTCTGGTAGTTTCTGTAGGTAGCCGGTGGGGTAGTGCCTGTAGTGCTTTCTGCAAAGGCTATGTCCAGCAAGGTGATGATGTCACTGCTACTTTACAAGATGACATCTGGACTTGCAAAGTCATGTTGTGCTTAAAACGTAGAGCGACACTCTAAATACACAACAGTAGAAAAGAATTAATAACAGATTGTTACCTGCAGAAATGTATAAGGCACACCGGCAACTTGTCTAAAGCATTTTATGTTTTTTTTTATGTAGGATACTAATAGCTCCTCCTTTACTGATTTTAAAACTTTCACATCTAGCAAGAAATTTTATGTGTTGAGTATTTTTAGGATATCTGGTGCAGAAACTGATGCGCAGATGCCCTGAATGTTTGGTACTTTGTATTATATTGGTGCTATGTAAACCGAGAAAGTTGCCAAAACTTGCATATTACTTTGTTGCCAAACTATCCAAAAAAAGTTAGATTTACAGGCAAAGCATTTGCATTGTGCAGCCTGATGGACAATTTTTCTACATGTTATTGTAGTCTTATCGCTTATTATGTTCACTCTTTTCTTGTCATCTCCTTTCAGTGTGTATTTTCTAATTCAAGCACTGGGTGGCAGTGTTCTCTTCTTCCTGAAGCAGACAGGTATACATCCATTCAGTGACATTCACAAACTGGAATATATGTAACAATACAGACCCCAAATAACTTGCCAGCAGTTTCCTATTTTGAGGCTTGTTTAAAGCCACACAAATGAGAATTAAAAAGATGACTATAAATGCCCATATACATGTGACTACAGCTGTTCTTAAGTTTGTCACTGGGTTGGCAAAATAAAACCTTGAATTGCTAAAGCAGCCCATAGGTTCTGCAATTTTCTTTAAATCCACCATGGATGGAAGAAAAGGAAATTGTTTGATTTCCTCAACACTTACTGTGTTGTGCCAGTGGGGAGCCTTCCCTGCCGGAAGAACACAATGATCACTGCTGGCGGCTATATCCACTGGTAGTGATCGTATGGGAAAAAAAATTCCGACAAGCTGGTTATGCTCAAGTCAATTGATGGATCAACTTCATTACAACCAGCCTGCCCATAGATGGATCGAAGCTTTAATGCTTGTCTTTTTTCCTCTCTTATTCATTGTATAAATGGAAGTATCTTTCTCTTGATGTGCTTATCAGGTACAGTATTCTCACAAGTGTTCCCTTCTGTGTGTTTTTGTGTGTAAGGGAGAATTGTGGGCTGCAGTTCATATGTTGTGATGAGCCAAATGTGTAATTATTCAAAGTTTGGTTGCTTGAGGGCAACCAGAGATATTAGAAACGTAAGACACCTGCAATATACACATATAAATTAGTCTGTCACAATGAGAATCCTTACCAAATGATCTTACATGAAGAGTAAATAGAAAAAAGCTGGAATGGCATTGTAGAGAACAGGCACAGTGGAAGAAAGGTAGATAAAGTGCTTGTATTTAAAAATATGGCAAGTTCATGTAAAAATCCTGTACTTCAGCTCACACGTGTGTGTATAAGGCCTCATGCACACAGGGCATTTTCTTTTGTACTCTGAATGCTAGAACTCGTGGCAGGGGAAAAGCTGCTTGAAAAATGCACATAAAATCGTATTGCACATGCGTTTAGGCACATGACATGTTTGAGCGTTGATGGATTCTAATGGCTAGAATATTTTTTCTGGCCCCTGGAATGCGTTAACGCACAAACTTGCCTAGAGGCATCTAATATTTAGACACAGTCAGCAGTTTTTCTGATCTTAACTTTTCTCTTGAACCTGTGTTAGTTTTTTTTTTTTTTTTTCCCATTTAGCATGGTTTCCTTTGGATTTATTTCACATCTGTGTGTTTTGAGTCAATGCATTTTCTGAAAAGGGCCAGAGGCTTTATTTTTTTTTTTTTTTTTTTTCCCTGCTGCAGATTGCGTTTTGCATGTAATAGACTTCAGTGGACCTGCACCAAAAACGCAAGTGTTGCGTTTTTGATGCATTTCACATTTTTTTTTTTTTCTTTTGGGCTAATAGGACAGTATGACAGTTCTCTTCATGTAGTGCAACTATGATGCGACTTTATACTCTCTGGCATTCAAGTAGCATCAAAGTAGTGTAGGAACCTTTGTGTCCAAAGTCACGTTAGGGTTAAATATTAGGGTTAAATGTTTAGAGTTGGAGCGCTAACTCGAATGATTAACTCTAGCCCTTAAAGCGGAACTTCACTCAATTACAGTGGACTACTTCTAATCCTTATACTTTTAGCATTAGTAAGTAGATAGGAATGTATATCATATTTACTTGTTTTAACCCCTTTTTTGCATTCCTTCATTTACTTTTTGGTTTCCATGCCTAGGGCAAATGTTGTCATACATCCCAGGAGTCTTTAGGAGGGGAGGGAGAGTTCTTAGCTCAGCAAGTGTCTGAGCTAAGGAAAGATGGATTCCAGGAAGTAACTACTACATGAATCATCTGCCCTTACTCAAGATGGCCATTGTCAGGAGGTGTTTTTCAAAATGATTTCTCGGCAAAATAAGTCGGAGACATGGATGGAGGAGTTTGTTTTAAATTATAAAAATTAGTTTTGTAGCATTTTTGGTTTGTGTTACTTCGATACAGTGCAGTTCCACCTTAACCCAAACCCTAGTTTGGACGCATAAAGGTGCCTGGTCTACTTTTATGCAATTTTGATGCTACTTGAATGCCAGAGAGTGTGTAAAGTTGCATAAAAATCGCACTACATGAACAGAACTGTCATACTTTCCTATTAGCCAAAAAAAGCCCTGCCTCAAAAATGCGTGTTCAAAAACGTAAAATGCGCCAGAACAACACATCAACTGCTACCTGCATAGATGTGAACCTAGACTAAAACTGGGGCATACAGAATCTAGTGCAGCTGTGCATAATACCCAATATGCTTCCAGGCTTTATTGTCAAAGCTTAATTGAACAAGCTGAAGTTAGAAGCCAATTGGTTACTATACACAGCTGCACCAGATTTTGTATGCACCAGTTTTCGTAAATCTCCCACCCCCTCTTTGCTGTCTGGGAAAAAAAAAACACCAAGTGCCTGTAAAAGCTGCCTTTTGTTTGTAAAAATTTGGCCAGCAACAAAAGTTAAACAATAGGATATGTTGAAACTATATCCTTTATAGAAAAAAATGGTTGCCTTCTAGTAAGCACTTATGACTGTTTGTTGCAGGATTCATTAGGTGTAGAATTATACGGATCAGTGAAGTGGGTCTGTGTGTTTTAAAAAAAGTTATTCATATTCGCAGGAGTTCCCCTATAAATACCATTCCTATGTCCAGCTCTGTAGCGCAGTGTATCGGGTTAATTTGTACATGTGAGCATACTAAATCATTGATGACATCCCACTGTACTGCAAAAATTGTATTTTACTTGGTTGTCTGTGTTTAATTACTCCTTCCGTTTTTTTTTTTTTTTCGTTTTGTTATTTTTACACCTTATCTCTTTTCTCTCTTTTTGTTTTTCCCTTGCAACAGAACCAGATAAACAGCAACCATCTGAGAAGAGCAGAGCAAGAGGTCAAAAGCTTACAAGCTAAGGTGCAATACCTGTCGGCACAAAACAAGACTCTGCAAGCTCAGCTGACTGAAGCAAAGCGCAAGCAAGCAGAGATTGAGTGCAAGGTAAAATGATGGTTAGGTTTATGACTGTGGTATTTCAGGACCCAGGCGCTCCACAACATGTAGCAGAGATGCAAGTTTACCATGTGTATCAATTAGAGCCACAGACTTTTTTTTTTTTTTTTTTTCTTTTTAACCTTTTTTTCCTAAGTGAGACCTCCCCATGTTATCTATTCTGACTGTTCATAAAGCGCTGATGGACCTGCATTTGATTCTTCTCATCCTTTATCTGTTTTTGCATGCAATGCCTCCTCACCGCCTGTAAAATGCTCTCTAAAGAGTGATCCAAATGCGGATTGCTCTAGAGAGAAATACTAATGTAAACTAGCTCTTATGGTGACACACAATAAAAAACTGGCCAAGCTTTTAACTCTTAATTACACTATCCATCTCGGGGGGCGGGGAGCTTGTCTTTAGTTATACTTTAAACAATGCTGATGGCCAATATCATAGATATATATATTTTACTAAATGAGTGATTCTTTCCAGTCACTCCTGTTATATGTAATCACTAGGACATTATTATACAAGATTTATATAGCGCCAACAGTTTTGCTCAGCGCTGTACAATATAATGGGAGACAATACAAAAACAATACAGTTCAATACAAGAGGGATAGGAGCTCCTTGGAGCTTACAATCTAATAGGGAAGGTTAGTGTGCCAGTTCCCACAAACATATACATAATTCTGGAATCTTTCATCATTGGTGCAAGCTTACAGTAATGATAGGCATAGATGTATAAGAATTCCCCCACACCCCATCCCGATCAGCAAACATAGATCTGTACTTGGGCAAAAAAAGCTAACTTAAAAAAAAGTATAAATTCTTAAAAAATAAGGAAGACTCAATGGACCACTTGGTCTTTATTCTGCCATCACTGTTTCTGCGACTTCTGCTGAGCAGGGATGGTCACATACTGATCGAAATTCAGCCAGACCGCGCTGAACCGTCTAAATTTAGAGCTAGCTTGAGAGTTGATGGGTGATGTATTTGTCGCACCTCCCCACCCTTCTCTATGTGCATGAAAGAATGGCAAGCAGGAACCCGTGAAAGATAGTTTCATAGGGCTAATAAAAATCTAATTTGCATGCTGAGATTTTCAGTAAGGTCTCAAAGAGGGAGATTTTTTTTTTTTTTGGAGGAAGGGGAAAGAACATACACACAGTATTTTAAAGTATAGACTAAGCAAATAAATAAAAGTACTATGCAGCTGCACCATATAAAAACTACTGTTTTTCTTTTTTTTTTTTGTAATGAAGTAACAAAAGCTTCTACAGTAACATAATTTACATTGAGTTCAAACAGTAGGCTATTTTTTTTCCCCTCTCTCTTGGTGTCTTGCTCCTTAATCCCTCCTGCCATCTTTTGCTGCAACATGACACAATTATGTAGTGCAGTCATATGTATCACATATAGCAACATACACATTAGCCTGCTTTGTTTTCTTACCACCCTGTCCGACTCCACCAAGCACTTGTTAACCTGCAAATCTATGGCAGCAGCAAAAGCCACTCTCACATAGACATCCCAATGCAGGAAGTGATCATTAAGAATCCTGGGACATGTAGATCTTAGTATCTTCCAGCACTTCGGTCTCAGACATAGGCAGTGCTGATGGACAGTGTAATCTGGTAAATTGCAAAAATGATTGGATTTATAAAAAATATTCATGATACTTATTCCACTGCAGAATGTTGTGCTGATGCATGTAAATTTCTGTTTGGAAGTCCTAGGCACTTGAGATCGCTCATTAAAGCGGAAAATTGTGTACTTGGCTTTCCATAGTTTTTTCTTTTCTGGAGCATCCATTGGCAGCATACCAAAGGGACAGCCTTTGCCTCTTTAGCCTCCATTGAACTGGATACCAATAAATATGTGGAGGACAGCCTGCTACAGTATTCTTGTAGCTGTCACACCATTACATGTGGGTATATGTGATTGTGCCACATTGGGTGCACAAAGAAAGGAAATTTACAGAAAGACAAGTATAGTTTACAGTTTTCTGTTTTCCTGGGGCATCATGGCACTGGAATATTGGTTGTCATATTGGATGGGCACCCTCGTCCAAGTGCTCAGCTCGACTCTGTTTTGTTCTGGAAGCAGGACATGCTGCTTTCAGTTTATACAGTGCTCCCAGCAGTCTGTTAGTAAAGGAAATAGTTCATTAGGGCCAGTTGGACCCAAACAGACTATTTTTAAACTTGAAATTAGGCTTTAAATACACACAAGAAATGTATTAATTTTTTTGAATGCCTCCTGTGAGGAGACAACTGAAAACTGTTGGTTCTTCCATCACTTTCTGCACTGGTAACCACAATCACCAGGCTGGAAAGTTAGACTAAATCTCTCTGGTGGGTTATATGTGTGAAATGTATGATATACACAGTGCTTTAACCCTTAGACTGTCAACAATGTATTTGATGTGTCATGTCTGTACCCACTCCCAGTGACGGATAGAGGAAGTCATGACCTTCATAGAAACCGTGAAATGAAAATGGTGATCAGCTTCTTTGCAGTTTTGCACCTGTATTAAGCTCACCACATGCAGAGGATGAGACGCCGCTCAAACCAACCCGATGTTCTCACGGTGTATAGCCTCAGCCAGTACTGTTTCGGCCACATCTTCTGATGTTTTGCCCAGCCCACCAGGGGCTGTGACCAAGCTCCAGTTGGGTGGGGTGAAAGGCATCAGGGGCGTGGCCAGAGCAGAGTCCATACACCATAACACCAGGTTGGTTTGAGTGGCATCTCATCCTTGGCATGCTTACACTTCTGGATTAGTGCACTTTGATGGCATTGGCATGGAGATCCTTAAGCGTCTAGCTTTGAGTGGCTGTGCAAGCCCTTCATGACCACAAGCTCACCACATATATTGGTCTGATTGTACAATTGCCTGTATATCTACCAACAGGGATGTCATACAAGAGCCTGCCTGACTAGATACATATCGATTTGGATAGATTAGGTAGATCCTCATTTTTATATAATTTTGGTAGATCTAAGGCTGGTTTTACAGTGATTGTGTGGTCAGATTGTGAGGTATATGGTGATCATTTCAACTGATGGCCTGACAACAAGAGACAGACAGTTTTCATGTGTGCTCCAATGAGTTTTATACACGTTGCAGATTCCTGCGCAGAAAAAATCTGTACATGATACTAGTGTTGTGGTGTGAACAGGCCACATAGAGAGCAATTGATTTTGATGTGCCCTTGCAGAATGTGTGCAGAAAAGCTGACGTCTCTGCATGCTGGTGTGAACGAGGCATTTTATATACTATGTACAGATTCCTGCGTAGAAAAAGATCTGCACATGATACTACTGTTGTGGTGTGAACAGGGAACATAGAGAGCAATTGATATCGTTGTGCCCTTGCAGAACGCTTGCAGAAAAACTGATGTCTCTGCACCATGATGTGAGTGGGCCCTAAATCTGCAGATTTAGGATCTCCCATGTAATGCAGCTTTCTGCTTATGTGCTGGTGTTTGCCATGCTTTTTTTTTTTTTTTTTTTTGGACAACCTTTATTTCATCAGTGGTAGCAGACACTGGAAAAATGTAAGTTTTCTGCATTCTCTGCCTATCTGCAACAATGCAACCTTGCCTTGCACTTAATTTCACTTTGTAAATTACGTTGCTGGTACCATGACTGATTGACTAAAAATGTGACTTTTTTTTTCTGTTACATGAGTATAATCAAGTTGATCAGCTAATGAAAGTATCAGCTATTTGATATTAAATCTGCATGATATTTCTTGATAGAGCAATTCATTTGATGTATGGTTAAATGTTTTAATGTCTTGCTAAGGTTCAGGAATCGGTATTGCGCTTTTTTTTGGGGGTTGTAGAGTCAAATCAATCTCTTTTGTCAACATTGGTAAGCTAGAAGTAATGAAATGAAAGCAAAACCATGAAAGTGGAAAGAGAGATATGATTCATTGCCGGGTGTTAATTTAGTTGACTGTAACAAGACCTCACTTCTTATCTTTGGGTGGAAAGTTTTTAGTCATACCGAATTGACTGTCGATAGTAAAAACTGCAGTTGCAAATGAAAAGTTTTAGTTTAGAATATGCCTTTTTCTGAAGTGTACCGCATCTTGTTGATTTATTGTTTCCAGTTCTACTGACTGAGTCATTTCTAGATTTGATAAAATCGGTTTATACTTTTAGAAATGCTTATATGACCAGCTAATATTGACCATGTAGTCAGTTTGTTGTATTACTGGAAGAGATTTTTGAGAAATGAAAACTTCACAAAATAGCTCATTCCTAATTTAACACCCTACTGTGGATAAAATCTGTCTCTTCCTACCACTTGTCCCCCTCATCCTCTTCTAACCCATCCTGCTGGGCTTTTTGGTTTGCTTAACTTACCTTTTTTTTTTTTTTCTGTTTGGAATAACTATTAGTTTGAGATGTGTGGGAAGGGGAAGATTTTATCCTAAATGATGGTGCCCACCACACCACAACCAAGCCTTCAATTTCACATGTTGCTACAGAAAAGAATTTTCGTGACCAGGAATTTTCTTTTCTTCCCAGGTCACAGCTCATACTCCTTTTTTGATTACATTTCTTGCACGATTCTCCCATCATTGATTAGAAATTTGTTCGTTTTTCAAAACAATTTCCAACATGCCCGATCACTCGAATTCGATGGTTGCATGAAAATCAGCCATTTCTGTAGCCCACTAATGGTGCAAAATTTGAATGAAAATTCTTAGAAAAGATTTTTTTAAAGACAATTCTTTTGGAATTTAACCCATGTATGGCTGGCTTTACAGTAAGAGTAACTCCACTTTCGTTGTGAAAAAAACATTCCCTTCTTGGTGATCTGTGTACATTGCAAGGATTTTAAACACTTTGTTGCAGATTTCTGCCTTTATTCTGAAAAGGTAGCTGTTTGTGTCCATGTGCAGAGTGAATCTGTATAGGAGTGTTTCGTTTTTGTTTTTTTTTTTTTTTTCTTTAGTTTTGTTTTTTTCCCTTTTGGAAGCATCTTGC